GAGACAGACTCCTGAAATGGAAACAGGGAAAAATGCAAGCTTGCAGATTGCTAAAGCAGGTAAGCCCCACACTATTTTTGAAGAACCTTATTTACCATTGGCAAAAGAGCTGACACATATTATGTGTGGAGAAAAAGCTACTAAACAGCTCGACCTGCTGCCCCCTATTAAAGACACAGTCACTCATAGAATTATTGAAATAACGGAAGATACCAAAAGTGCGCTGGTAGAGCACATTAAGATGAACAGATGCTTTTCACCGCAATTAGATGAGTCTGTTGTCGATTTGGCGAATTCGCTCGTTTACGTTCAATACGAGTTTGAGGGTACGTCCCATGAGGACTTTCTGTTCTGTAAACCGCTACCAACAGGAACTACAGGAAAGCACATATTTCAGCTTCTAAATGAATTAATCGAAGAGAATGGCATCTACTGGATAAAATGCGTCGGAGTTTGTACAGACGGTGCTAGAGCGATGACAAGCCGACACAGCGGTGTAGTTGCACGAATTAGAGGGGTTGCTCCAGAAATGAATGGACGCATTGCAACATCCACCGCGAGACCTTTGCCGTCAAGAAAATGCCTGATGATTTAAAATCTGTTAGACTCTGTTGTGAATTGTATCAAGTCTCGAAAAACGAATTCACATCTGCTTTGCTCGACTAAACAGGCTCACCCCTCTCACTGAAATGGTGCTTTATTTATTTTTATTTGTTGTTGTTCCTGTTTTTTTTCTGTAAAGCGCTTTGAGAAGCCACCTTTAAAGGCACTATATCAAAGTTTATAAGTTTATAAGTTTATTATAATATTTATCATATGTGTGTGTGAGTGTGTGTGCGCACATGCGAACTCATGTTGGTCATTGAGAATTTCTTGGGTTCCTATGAGAAGGTGACTTGTAGGTGGTACTTGGATGCTTTGGTTTGATCAGGGGTGGTACTTGGTCCAAAATGTTTGAGACCACTGCTCTAGGGAATTCATGCTACAGTACAAACCAGGTCCATGGGATGATTCCCTAGACATATTTTTGCAGAATGCCATTGCAGCGAACATCTCAACATAAAATGAGAAAAAAAAAATCTAAAAAACCAGGCTCTAAGCACAGGGAAGGGGGCAGAGTCTGTGTGAGGAATAAAAAAAACAGAACTTTGCGGTCGTCTCTGCCATTGTTAAACCTGAGTAATATTTGATCTCTTATAAACAAGTTCAATGACCTACAAGCAAATATCAACAATGTCCATGGATACAGAGATGCTGGGTCACTGGCCCTGATAGAAACTTGGCACACAGACACAGATTTGGGCTTGGACCTTACCACTGATGATATTGCACCCGCCTCAGGATGGACCGAGACAGAACAGTAAAAACACTGGGAGGTGCTTGTCTATACGTTAACAAAAGATGGTGCAGCAATGTCACGGTGTAAGAGAGGCTTTGCTTGACAGATATCGCGTTGCTATCAATACACCAGGTCACTTTTATCTTCCCAGAGAACTCCCACAGATATTCGGAACTCCAAAGGAAACAAATGCAGTTAACAGTATTTTTAATATCATTCACTCTCTGCAATCCCTATCCCCTGTTGACCAGTGGCATTAACCTTTAAATTTATTAAATAATTTGAGAAAATAGTTAAAAGGCACATGCTCCACCTGGAAGAGCACCTACTGGATTTCAAAGCAATTTGCAGCATCAGGGGCACCCTCACCTTGTTGCCACTGCATGGTCACCACCAGAACTCTGTTGCCAGATGGACCCCACACTCTCCACTAAAACCCTGCATCAACTTGTGGAGAGTCTCTCTGCTGCCCCCAACACTCCAATCATGTTTACACTCAGATCCTAACTCATTTAACTCACATAACCTCTCTCATTCTGTGGACACACTGACAGCCTTGCTCTCACACCCTAGTAGACTGCTGTCCCTTTAAATCTCATAAGGCTCCTTTTCGAAAGCTCTCTTTAGGGTCATACACACAGCTCCCTCCAGAAGTGTTTGTCTTACTTCCCCCTTTCTGGGTTTTCTCTCATTGTTCCAACGGTCTCGTCCAAGACTGTTGCTCATCTCTTTCTCCCTTATTTGGGTTCAACTGCAGCCGCTACTCTGCTTTCTCTTACACTTACTCAGTAATACAGATGCACTCTTTGTTATTGCTGATAACAGCAGGATCTCACATCTGCTGCTGTCCTGGTTCAGTCTGGCTCGTTCACAGCTGAGCTTTTGCATATGGGAGACCTGATATCATAAGCCCTTCCTGGTCTGCAGCTCACAGAAGACTAAGGTCTTGCTTTGATCTCCTCTGAGAGAAATACTACTCCTACTCTTAAAGCTTGCTCACAGCTGTATCTCATGAGTACTCTGACTCTGCTCAGCTGTGGTTGCCTAGGTAACACATCCCTTCTCAACGAGTCTCCACCTCTTAAAGGTGCCGCTCCCTGGACAACATTTTGATGCCATGCTTTGGCATCTGCCAGTGACTACCTAGGATCTTTACATGGAGCAATGCCTTACTTAACCAAACCTCTAATCTGGTAATTTGCAAACAATAGTAGGCACTGCATGTTTAAAAACACATTCCAAATTTCCATTCTTGCAATTCAACTTTTCCTTTATCCATTCTATTAAAATTATTTAATTGAAGCCTATGATGAGACAGGATCATTTTACAGACACAGAGGGCATAAAATAATCATGACAAAAACTATACATTTTCCCTCCAGTGGCATGACATCTCAAAACTACAAGAAGCCTGAAAAGGCAATTGATACATGAGAATTAATGGAGATAACATTGTTCATCTTAGCAAATCAGGCTCTGCAAGTTTAGCTGCAGTTTAAACATTGCTTCCATCCAAGAGGACAGTAAAAGGGTTTCAGATATTCTGCCACAGTGATTTGAACTCTTGATTTGAGGTTAATTAATTGCCAAGACAAACTTTGATATTTCTCTGACCTTTACAGCTCATGATTCAGACACAATTGCAAAAGAAACCAATTCCATGTTTAAAACAGTTACCTTAAATGTCACAAAGAGGCCGGGGTGGTAGAGGTGGAGAAGAGATGTCAAGTGTTCATTCATACTTGCATCTCATTACAAAACTATTTCACAACCATTTTCTTGATACTGCTCTGAGACAGCAGTGCACTGACCTTTCAGAAAACATCACACAGCAGCAGTATGGGAGGTTGTGGGAAGATCACCCCTAAACAAGGTACATCATTTAGATTACTCCAGTAAGATACCCAGTTGCACTGATAGGTCTATAATATACTTTGGATAAAAGCATCTGCCAAATAAAACAACAATAATAACAATGGCGATGTAGTATTTTTTAACTTTCTATACTTTACATTTCACTACACTTAACACTTAACTTTAATGAGATCATGGATGATATGATACATTGGCCTTCCTGTTTATAACAAAGCATCACAGCTTTCGTGCTTTTTTCATGGTACTTTAAAATGTGGTTTGCCTTTAGTAAGCAAAGTAAGGGATGCATAAATGATACACTCCCATCTGTCTCCACTGATTTTACCTACTCCAAGTTTGTTCATTAAAATACAGTACATTTCTTTCATTGTTTTGAAATAGCTCAGTCTGTCTCCTTTTGCTATTGGACACCACTTCTTAAGAGGAGCAAAAGCAAAAAAGGATTAGTGTTTGTGACATTAACCTAAAATGTCACATCAATATAAAGACATTAATCACCCAAACGGTGAAAGTATTAACAGTACCAGCATGGTCAAAAACTGTATAGTGAAGCAAGCCCAAAGCTGAAATGGCACACCAAGCTACTGTAGCTAATAGCATGTCTTGCTGAATGTATCAACTTCTGGAAACAACTGGAAACTGGAAAGCAATTGCTAATTTACATGGAACCCCTAAGCTACCATTAATTAATTGCCACTAAGTACTTTAAAATGGCAACATTGAGAGCTTGAGTGGAACTGCCTAACAGAATGGCATTTAGAATTCAGCAGACAACATCAATGATGCTCGCTCCTAAGTGCCATTTCTGTTGTGTTGACACTGGTAAGAGAGTACTTACAACACAGAAAACAGTCCTCCATAGCTAACAGATTTTAAAAGTCAATCCATACTTCTCTCGATTCTTTTCTGAATTGAAGCTGACATGCTACAGTACGTACTGTAATTTTTCGATCACATCCAAGTGACCATGAAGGCACTGTGTGCTACACAAAATATTTTTATTTCTAGAAATTTCCTTTCTTGAAATTCCAGATACAAGAACACCCTCATCTTTCTTGGACTAGAAACAGAAGACCTATAAATTGCTTTTAACATTCTTGAGACATACTGGATGGCACTGTACATTATAAGGGAAGGCAACTCTTAGGTCTCCTACAACACAGCACTGTTAGTCCTAAATGCATAACCAGGAGATGTGGGAACTGAAAATTCAACTTGAAAACGAATGATACCATACTACAATGCAATGCTTTGATCTAATCCTGTGACTTCAATAAGAATTCAATCTTAACTATCCACATAGTCAGGTAAAATATTCTGTGTTATCCTGAAACCAACAGCAAGAGATACATTTTAAAATATGAAGGGATTAATTAAAGGCTAAAATCAAGTAATTAATGAAATGTCTTCCTTTTCTCACAAGCATCATGAAGAACAGAAGAGTAAAAGTGCAGCATAAAAATGTTAATATCTCCAGTAGGTAACAAATGACTGTTCATGGACCTAGGGTAAATAATATAGATAGGGTGGTCACAAATAAAATCAGGAGAATCTGTCAGCCAAAGTTAAATTTTGAGAAGACCTTATTTTCTCTGCTCTCCTTCCTCGATAACCTTGCTGAGCACTTGTTCAATGATCATCATTTGTCTTACCCACACTCTTTCATTTTCGTCTTATATTACACAATAGAGACCAAAATGCAGTGTGCTGCGAAAAAGTCAAATATATCTCTCTCTGACAGAAGACAGAGGGTAATGCACAGTAATAAGCAGTGATCAGAGCTCACCTTGGCTAGTTCTGGTAAGGTTACGCTGGCAAGTCCTTTTGTGTTATGGGTCAATTCTGGAAAGAAAAAAAAAGATAAAGGTTGCTTGTAATACATATCTGATATTACAGTGCTGCTGACAAACACCTGAGGTTACACACTACAGGAGCCTCTTTAGAACCATCCACTCACGTCTCACACAGCTATGGTATAAATGTATCACTTACCAACAAACTAGGAAACACACACTGATCCCTAATTTCTAGTGCCCTAAAGGGCTTGTCAGAAAGGAAGTAGAAAAACAGAGAAATTCTTCTCTGAGCTCTGCAAATACCTAACACACACTGCAATTTAATGTGTGAACCACCCAAATATCGCTGTCAGGTAGTGCCAGCTTTCATTGGAATTCATTTGAATTCTACACTTTTCACTAGATGCACTATATCTTAAGAGTGTCCAGGTCCAGGAAAATACTATTGTGTCAGTAGGCTGCCTAATTCACTTTGATACAGCTTTCTCTAATAATGTTTATGAGCAGAATCAGTCATCAGCAAAGTATAAGCTATTAAACTGAATTCCTATTTGCAGTGCTGCATTTTAGTACCTAAAGAGACAAATTCTACAATGCATAATGGTTTAGCTAAGTACAGTAATAAAATCGCGGTACAACTTTGTACTGTAAAGTACAAGGCTGTCATTGGTTATTGTTTTTGTCTCTTTGAGAACAGGAAGCAGAAGATAAACACAGTCTGAAAATGGCAGGAAATGACTAACTTAAGACAATTAGTTTTTTGGAACTGTCAGTAATCAAAATGGACAGTTATCGCAACAAAATAGAACAGATCATAAGGAATGCTGACACTCCATTTGCAATAAAACAATAATGAGAAATGACATCACAGGGTTCCACCAGACTGCATTTAGCCATGGAGACTCCCTCTCAAGTTGAGCCCAGCAGTTTGGCAGTCTGCCAATAGAATAAAATGTCAAGTCTTACACCTTTAATTCACCACCATCTGCTGGTTAGTAATATTTTATTGTGACACAGAAGCACAGATATTGTATATTGTAAAATTGTCATAATGTTCAAGTACATAATATTAATTCATTGATCTTACACATCAGTTAAGTGTTCTGTTATCAGTAGTGAGTACATTTAAATTGGCTTCTTTCGTGTTTCATTACCTTCTGGCATTAAAATGCTAGAACACCTCATTTGTATTAGCAGGGCTTCGACACTGAAGCACTGATACACTGTGATGTGATCAATGAAAACTTCAATGTTACACTGCCACAGCAAACATGGTTCATGTCTCAGACAGTGCTGGAAAAACTGAGCCAGTTCCACTTCGGAAATCACATTATTGTTGAACAACATCTACTGAAAGTGAGGCAGTTTTTGCCCATTGTGGGCTAAGTGAATGCCACATTTGAAAATGGAAAAGGGCTGAAAGTTTCAGCTTAAGCGCTATTCAATTCTAAATGAACTATTAATGTGTTATAATATTTTTTCACCTCTTATTCCAAAGAACATGCTACAATCTAGTGCAAATCAAGATCTCACAAAACAGGCTTCACATTACTCATTGCAGCTTAAAACGTGCTTGTTTACAAAGACATAAAGGAAAACATTTCATGAACAGAGAGAAGTGTATAAACCTCTGTGTTTTTTAAAGCACAATAGCTTAAAATATATTGACACTGCTGTATGTAATCAACAGATTTCTAATATTTTGTATGCCCCAGTGACCACTGTTGGCACAATAATCAAGAAATGGAAGCTACTGTACATTACACCACCCAGACACTGCCTAATCGAACAACATTTGAAAACTCAAAACTAAGCATCCGAACAAGAAGGAGACTTGTGAGTCTCTTGTGAGGCTTGTGAGGCCAACAATCATTTCTGAAAAACCTACAGTGTTCAGTGTCTGAAAGCAATGTTAAGATGCATCAGTCTATCAGGATCAGTATATCAAGAGCTCTGAATAATACCGGCATGTATGCGAGAGTGTTACTCAAGACATTTGTCAAAAATAACATTATTGGAGCATTGTGTGATCTAGTTTTGGGAAAAGTTTTTGTGGTCAGATGAGATCAAAATTGAGCTTTTTGACCACAATTCAAAACGCTATGCGTGGCACAAACCTAACACTGCCCATGCCTCACGAAACACTATCCATACAGTAAAGTATGGTGGTGGCAGCATCATGCTCTGGGGATGATTCTCATCATCAGGAACTGGGAATCTTGTTAGTGAGGAAAAATGGATGGGGTAGACTACTGCAGTATTTCAGAGTACTGAAATACTGTAAGGGTACCTGTTTCAGTCTGCTAAAAAACTGAAGTCACCTTTCAGCAGGACACTCATTTCACGCACAGGCCATAATCAAGTACATAATATCAATTAATTGTCAATTCAAAGCAACATTGGAGTTGCTTAACCCTATTGAGAATCTGTGGCACGATTTTAAAATTGTGGTCCACAATTTCTGTCCAATAAACTTGAAAGAGCTGGAGAAAAACTGAGAAAAGGAATGGATGAAGATCACTCCTAACCAGTGTGCAATGCTGATAGACACACAAAGGACCACAAAAGACAAAGCTGTTATTGCAGCAAAGGTAGCTCTGGCAAATATAAATATATGTGGTCTGAATACTTTTCCAAGCACCATATTTCAGTTGTTGAATTTCTTTAAGATACATGCTGACAAATAAATAATTTTGTCTTAGAATATTTCTGATCATGCAAGTTGACAATAAAAATACTGTGAAAAGAATGTGTATTCTTTGTAATCCAGCAACATTTGAGAACATTTACAGGTTGTGAATACTATAATTGTATCTTTTCGTATATTAAACTGGGTAAGCACCCATTTGACCATGACTGATCCTTTTATTGGCTCTCATTTTAAAGCTAAGAGTACACTTCTGGTACCACACATGCCTGTCAATTAAGCACTTTGTGAATTAGATACTTTTTAAAAGGTGAGATCTTCAGCACCATGGACAGCTCTACACAGAAAAATTGCTGCACCTGTCTTTTCCAGCCGTCAATCTCTGAAATCATCAACTAATATTTCAACAGTTCAAAATCATTTCACAAGATGCAAGTAAACACTGCCTCAGTATTAACCAGCTCAGCTGATCCCAAGACAAAAAGTGTCTTAACAAATCATAAGCAGGCTTCAACCAAACTACAGTAAGAAAAAATACCATACAATCATATTCTTTTTTAAACATAAGAGGGTCGCGGGGGAGCTGGAGCCTATCCCAGAAAGCAACGGCAACAAGGTAGGGTACACTTTGGACAGGACACCGCAGGGTATACACAGATAAAAACACCCACACACTCGCACCAGGAACACTTTTACCCAAAGACAATTAACCAACCATGATGTCCTTGGACCGTGGGAGGAAACCAAAGCACCTAAGAGGAAACCCATGTGAACATAGGGGGAGCATACAAACTCCACAAAGATAGTGGCCCAGCATAACAAGTCAGCAATGTTAACCACTACCGCCATGCTACCAAAAGAAATAACATTAAACACATTATCACAGTAGAGTACAAACCTCTGAATTTGAGTGACATTTTTTACCACCAGTACTAACTAAAAACAAGTACTAAATTGCTTTAAACCAGCAGAGAACAAACTGAACATTAAAACACTAATGAAATAAAGTTGTACTCCCTTCAGATTATATCTCCATGATGGTGTAAAGATGTCTAATGAGGACATGGATATTTTCATGGAGTGGAGAGTTCTCAAATGTCATAAACTAGATGGATGGAAAGTAAATGTAAATTCTAATTGAGTATTCCATGCACATATGATGAAGCTTCTTATAATACAAAGTAGTTCATGTTATAAATTATCTTTAGTTAAGACTAGCAATTACAAAACTACCTATCACTAGCTAGCAGAAATTGGTGTTCTCCTGAAGTAACAATTGAGTTCCTGATGGCACTGCTTAAAAATATTCCACTGGTGACCCTTTACAATGAGAATGAGCAATGAAAGGATGTTTTATCTTGTTCTGCTATGTTGAGGCACCAACTTCAAGAAGACAGGTTGTCAAAAAATAAACTAAACTGGGTTGAACAAATATCACAAATACTGTACCTACTGTGGAATCAAAGAAAGTACCTGTTTGTATTTCAAAGTCACACCTAAGGTTTTCAGAAAGAGAACCACTCTACATGTACTTAAGGAAATAAAAAGGGTGTTCCTTATGGTTCCACCTCCTGCTCTCTGCTGCCTCAGCCACAGGCTCCTAATTCACTCTAACTTGCAGCTGCCAGTGTGCTTCCTCATGTCTGGCCAGCCTGTGCATCACACATACAGTGGTGTGAAAAAGTGTTTGCCCCCTTCCTGATTTCTTATTTTTTTGCATGTTTGTCACACTGAAATGTTTCAGATGATTAAACAAATCGAAATATTAGACAAAGATAACACAAGTAAACACAAAATGCAGTTTTTAAATGAAGGTTTTTATTATTAAGGGAAAACAAAAATCCAAACCTACATGGCCCTGTGTGAAAAAGTGATTGCCCCCCCTGTTAAAACATAAATCAACTGTGGTTTATCACATCTTTGGAAAGCTGAGTTCAATTTCTTTAGCCACACCCAGGCCTGATTACTGCCACACCTGTTCTCAATCAAGAAAACAATAGGACCTGCCTGACAAAGTAAAGTAGACCAAAAGATCCTCAAAAGCTAGACATCATGCTGCGATCCAAACAAATTCAGGAACAAATGAGAAACAGAGTAATTAAGATTTATCAGTCTGGAAAAGGTTATAATGCCATTTCTAAAGCTTTGGGACTCCAGCGAACCACAGTGAGAGCCATTATCCACAAATGGCGAAAACATGGAACAGTGGTGAACCTTCCCAGGAGTGGCCGGCCAACCAAAATTACCCCAAGAGCGCAGCGACGACTCATCCAAGAGGTCAGAAAAAAACCCACAACAACATCCAAAGAACTGCAGGCTTCACTTGCCTCAGTTAAGGTCAGTGTTCATGACTCCACCATAAGAAAGAGACTGGGCAAAAATGGCCTGCATGGCAGAGT